AGGCAGTGGCCCAGCCGTCGGCAGCACACACTTCTCTGATCGAGTGGCGGCTCAGCCGGCCGAGCCGGCCTTGCCCAGCGCCGGCCCGCGAATCCTGATGCTGCACTCGCGCCCCGCGCCAGCACCAGGTCCGCCGCTCGCACCCGCCGACCCTTTCCCCTCCCACCAAGCGGAGCAACCCCCCAGCCCGCCCGGCGTCCCCGAGCGCCGGAGGCCCGCCCACGCTCGCACCCACCTTCCCGGACGCAGACCCCGGCCCCGTGCTCGTGGGAAATCCGGAAGTTCCGAGTGGAAGACGATCTGTGGGCGGGGCCGCGCGCGCGCAGAAGGAACCCGGAAGACTCCCTCCCAGAGTCCCATGCGCCAAGGCGTCCTCGCGAGGCGGGAGTCTGATCCCCACGGGCGTATGGCCGCCGCGGCCGTCGTGGCGTCGTGTTCTTCCGCGGGCGTGGGCCCCGCTGCCTGAGAGCCGGCTGTGGTGGGGCCGTCCCTGGCCCCACGTGCAGCCTCCGGGTGCGGCGCCGCGTCACGTGGACTCTGACGGCGGGGAGGGGCGTCGTGGGACGGTGGGGACTTCTGTGGCCGAGCTGCGATGACTTTAGGGGTCAGCTTTCCTGTTTTTATTCCCCAGAACGGATTTGCGGTTATAGAACCGAGGGTTGGCTTTTTTTCAACTGGTGTATACTGCAGTGTGAATGTGAAATATCAGTGTCCGCGATTTGTTAGACTACGTGACCATCACGGGAAATTGGCATTTTTACCGTGTGTCCCCGGTGTGCGACGGGGAGCCATTGTTGAACGGAAACCACGCGGAAAAGGGAACAGACGAGGCTCCTCGTGCGTGCCGCGAGGGGCCACAGCGGAGCTGACGCAGGTGCCTGCAGGGTGGGGCGGGACCTGAGCGCTCGCCGGCATTACAGCCTGTCCTTGAAGTGGTGTCGGTGTCTGCGTGAAGACCGAATTGGTCACTTCAAAGCACCAAGAGTGGGGGTTTGGTACCTCTGCGGGTCTTACCACACAAGGGGAGGATCTGGAAGGGAGGGGAGCTGTTGCTCACAAGGGCTGCAGAGAAAGTCATGTCAGGAACCTGCATTTGTCTGTGACTCTCGGACTGTTACCTGGGTTACATGCTTACAGGAAGAGCTGTGTCACTTTGCGGTTGTAGTAGTCCCCTTTGATCACACAGAGTGGACGCTGAGGCAGCAATAACATGGAGTAGTTTAAACTCCTGACAGCAGCCCTCCTTGAACCCGTTAAAAAGATGCTGATTCTTATCCACTAAAATAATGTCTAAGCCATCAGTAGATGACAGTCCACTGTTGGAAAGCCTGCTCTAGTTTATGTGCAAGAATAAAGTAGTTGGATCATTGGGTGAGTGAAAATTTACACTTCCAGTGTCTGGTAATGACCTGCCTAGAAATCCCAAAGGTGTATTCATTCACTAATCTATTCATCATATCTTTACTTCTTTATTTTTCTGCGAGATGGACTTGAATGGGGCCTTCTCGTCCCTAGTTTCTGCCACACATTAAGCAGGGACTTCAACACAGGCTTATCAGAGCTCCTGCTGCCGCACACGGGGATAGACCTGACTTACGTGACTGTGTTCGTGTGCACTTCATTGTCAGGAGTGGGGATTGACTATCTGGCCCTGTCACCTATGTGACCTATCTCTGGTTTTCCCTTTTCCTAAAATACTACCTACTCTGTTGAAATTCATGTACTTTTTCTCATCCTGCAGTTGCCCCTCAGTAACTGCATTGCATTGAGGGACCTCAGCCTTTACTTCCCATTCCCTTCTCTCAGACTCTGGGACCCCTAGCCCTCCTTCAGTGCCCTGGATCTAACTCTTCTCCCTTAAACACCTTTTGGTGTGCTATTTGGAGATTCTTTAAATCCAGAATGATTGACAGGAATTTGGGGAGGGGGGAAGTCAGCACCTGACGCTCATCCCTCTGGGATGGGGAATGTCATCTCCTTTCTCTGTAGCCTCAGTCATCTCATCCATAAAAACAGAGACAGTAATACACATGTGAATATGTGGTCCTCACCCTGAGCCTACCTCTAATAACATACAGGCCAGTAAGGGCAACCTCTTCCTCCACGTGTGAATCTAAAGTCCTCAGGGCCAAGAAGAGGAGATCAGGAATAAGACCAAGGTACTCCCAAATCGGGCCATGGAGACAGCTGTGCCCTGCAAAGGTAGGCTTCAGGGTTACATTGCATGAAGACGAGAATGAATTTGCTGGAACCAAGGCACTAAACTGATACTATGGGGTAGTGAGAGCTCATGTCCCTTCTCAGGAATTGTTTCTTTGCTGTTTTTCTAGTTGGCTTGGGGTCGTGTTCACAGACACACACACACACACACACACATGCGTGCACACACACACACTTGTGTTAAGATAGATACACACTCAACATCCCTAAAGTCCTTTTGAGTGTCTGATAAGTGGCAGGCTCTGTCTGGGCATAAGGGACAGAGATGATCTGTGCTTCTAAGGTGTCCTGAGTGTCCATGGTGGCAGTTGTCATTCTCAGTATAAGCCAATTAATGTGTCGTCTTTACCACTAGACTGTGAGCCATTTGGGGATTTGTGAGTCTCAGTCGGGGCTAGGTTGCCTGGCAGGTGCTCAGTGAACACTAGTCAGTTAACAAAAGAAAGATAAACACTCCATTTATATGCCCTGTGATGGAAAACTAAGTCCAGAATAGCTTTTGGATGGGAGGCTGATGAGAACTAGAAGGTATATCCACTCCTTACATGGAGGTCAGAGAAGACTGTCCACTCCTGTCCTGAGACTGTGGGTGACACCTGTGGTCCGAGGGTTGCACAGCCAGCCCCAGTGTGAGGATAGGGAAAGTCTGCTCTCACTGGACCTCCTCCAACTTGTTGAGAAAACTTTTGATGAAATCAGAACACCTGTGATGAGGAGGTGTTCGGATACTTCCACAGGGCATGAAAATCCTGGTTCCCTACGAAGGAACAAGACAAGACACTTACTGTCCACTAGCCCTTGGACACTGCAAAATACAGTAGCAGTGACGTTGACTTTGAATTCTCTACTTTCCCAACTACCAGTTAGCCATGAAAGCAAAATGAAGACACTTTTGTGGGTATGAGGACTCAGAAAATACCTACACTCTCCCCCATATACTCTAAGGTGGCATTCCACAAACACAAGGAGAATATAAAGTTGGGGGCCCCATAGAAAGAGTGTGCCCAGTGTCCACTCTCTCCTCCCCTTGAGCACTGCAGGGGCCTTTCCTGCAGAGATAAACTGAGGTTGTCAAATCGAACCAACTTCTTTCACCCACAGAAAAGCCAGTACAGCCTCTACCATTCATGTGGTACAGCAACTCTTCAAGGAAGTGGACATTTTTATCCTCTTTTAAAGGTGAAGACATAGCACTCGGAGAGTTTGAGTAACTTGCACAGATCACAGGTGTTAATTGGCAAAACAGACCCAGCTTGCCCGTGTGACACCGAATCAGGCCTTTCCACCCCCCATCACAACCCCACACCAGTGAGCTTGCTGCTGTCCCTCCCCTCAACCAGTGATGTCAGCCCTCATGTTCTGGAACAAGAAATGGAGGGGAACGGGGAAGAGGAAAAGTAAGCAGATGGGAGTAAGTGTAGGCAGGGTGCCCATGGTCTGGGTGGTGCTGCAGTGGAGGAACAGGGACTCGAGCACAGTGCATGGCCCAGCAGCCCCACCAGAAGGCCCGTGTGAACAGAAAGTCTGAAGCCGGGGAGAAACCTGTTGACAGGTGCTCAGGCTGGAGACATACTGTTGTCCTTTGAGGGCATTATCCACGACTGGGCATTACCCCAGCCTGCAAAGTCAACCGTCTGACCCCACAGGGCACCCTCCAGGGCTTGGTGTCCCTAATCTCGATGATGGGATGGCAGCTGACAGGCAGCAGTTACGCAGACAGCTGGGGACAAGCCCACTCTGACTGGATCCAGAGGTGGAAGTTAGAAATGAAAACCATTCCTCCCCCACTGGCTGGTCATCCTCCCCCACCTTCCCCAAGATTTAAGGCTGCACATTTCCAGGCCACGTGCGGCTGTTGCTTGGGGTGACCCAGAGAAGACGGCCCAGGGCATGGGACTCACCTTCTTCCTCTTCTACAGTCATGTCATTCTTTCATCCTTTTTCTCTAAATTATTTCTCTTTATTTGAAGTTTAGCAAACCATTTTTTAGGCATTCGACAAATCTCAGGTGTACACAGTGTTTTAGGACTGGAGAGAGACAGGGCACTGCAGGACCCTTGTCTTCTTTGATACACATTCTGATGGGCACAGCATGGTGGTTATACCCGGAATGTGCTGGGGCACAGACATGTGGGTGGGAAACCCTAGGGAGGAGGGGCTGGAAGGCTGGGGGTGTCTGCTGCTTTGGAGAAAGTAGCAGGTCCTCGGGAAGGTGACATTTCAACACAGTCGAGAGAGCAGGAGTGCAGGCCAGGTGTCTATCTGCTGGAAGAGTGTCCCTTCAGAGAAACCTGTACAGGCCCTGTGACAGGAGGGTCCCTGGGGTGGGGGGCATGAGGTCAGCCGCTGAGGTGGGCGGATGGGGGCAGGAGAGCAGGAGAGGAAGGGTGGGCAGGACCTAGGAAGCCTCAGTTGCCATGGAAAGTCTCTGCCTTTTCCTGTGTGTGAGATGGAGCACCGCCTCCAGGGCCCTGCTGGCCCCTGTGGAGCATGAACAGAGTGGAAGGCGGCCACGGCAGCAGCAGAGGCAGGGAGCTGTGACATCTGGTGCAGAGAGACAGGTGCATCTGGACATCTTTCAAGGCAGAGTGAAGGGACATTCTGGTGGCTTGGATGTGATGTAAGGGAGACAGAGGAATCAAGGATGACTCCCTGCCTGTAGTCTGAGAGCTGTAGGAACAAGGTTGCTACCTCCTCGCATAGGAAGGTGGGGAGAGGGGAAGATGTGGGAGTACAGCTCTGGGCAGGTCAAGGGAAGGCATGTAGGTGCAGGTCAAGAGGAGGCACACAGGTGCAGGTGCAGGTGCTCAGGGGCCCTTGCTAGCGGGTGCCAGGGCTGCAAACATTCTCTTCCATCTGCTGCTTTCTTAGAGAAATGGGAAGTGAGAACACCACCTGGGGTGGGATGGAAGGGGATGCTGTTGGAGGTTTGAAGGAGTGGAAGGCCGGAAAATGTCTCCTAGGACAGTGGGATGAAGGCAGGAGGGGTGGCCCCGAGAGGCTGGGGACCAGTGAGCATGGCCACGTGTCTTCCCAAGCATGACCCTGCAGAGGAGCAGTCACGCAGGAAGAGTGGTCTCACAACCAAAGCAGGAATGGAGGAGAGGGAAGCGGGACTAGTGTCAAGGAAAGAGCAGG